CCTGGGTTTAATGAGCCCCCAGCTCTGTGAGTGCTGCTTTTCACCACCTTTTATTTGGTCAGACAGGGGGCTCAATAAATCTTTAGTTCTGTGGACTCCCCTCGTGGAATTGTTGAAGGAGAAAGCTTTTTGCAAATGACTGGAAAGTCCGTTGCAAATATAAAGTGCTTATTTAGATGCAAACTAAAAAATCCTAGGTGCCTGTGACTCATCCGGCACCTATTGTGCTTGCTGCAAAGACTCGGAGGCTTGCTGTGTGATGGGTGCCATTTGAGAGCCACTTAAAGAACTCCCTGGTGAATGAATTTGGTTGCATTATTCCCGGGATCGTTGCGGAGGACCCGTATTCTCACCGCTCACTCGGATCTTGTCCTCCTCATTTGACACTTTCTCAGCCCTCTCCCCAAGTTAGCTCTGACCCAGGGTGCGGCGGGAGGGGTTGGCCCACTGGGAGGCAAGGAGCCAAGGGGAGGGGGGATCTGGGGGTGGTGTTCACTTACTCTGCTTTTTAGAAAAGAAAAGGCAGCGTTAATGCCAGCATCCAGAGCTATGCCTGAGAATCTAATGACAATAGTATTACTTCCTTTCAAAAACCCTTTTATCATTTCCTTTTCTTTTCTATCTCCTACTACCCTGTTATTACAGATCAGGGCTTCATGACCAAAAAATGCTGAATCCATTTGGTTAGGTTTGTCAGATGGGTGACTAGCATTGTGTGAAGACCAAAGGTCTGCATGAATGATTGCATTTTTAATGAATTGACTGGCTATTTGGCATCCCATGAACAGAATTTAATGCTGTGTACTGCAAACTGCTGTGAAGGATAATAGAGAGAGCTTTTCCAAGGCCTATTTTCAGCCCTAGAAGAGGGAGGAGGCTCCATTTTAAGGTTGGTGAGGGTTGGTTCCTTTAGACCTACAAGCCAAGAGGGGAGCATCCTTGTCCATTGGGGTCTAAGATGGGAACTTGTCCCTCAGATTGCAGGTTGGTGAGTGCTGTGCGTTCTGGGAATTCTTCCTGTATGAGACAGAAGCCAATTCAAAGTTTGCTCTTGTTGGTTGTGTCTTAAGTGGTGCAAGTAGAAGTGTGCGTTAAGCATGTCTGCTGCCAGCAAAATGGTGCTTTTGTGCAAGTTACAAAAAGATACCCTTTCCTGGCTGCTGAGTTGTAAAAAAGTACCCTGTCTTGGTCTACTCAAGGTTTGGGAATGAAGCCCTGGCTGAATTCAGTTTCTACACTCCAGCCACAACCTCACCTGCCAGCCCTATGCATGAGAGTGTGTGCGAGTAGAGTGTATAGTTCAGTTGCTCAGTCGTGTTTGACTCTTTGTGACCCCATGGACTGAAGCACGCCAGGCCTCCCTGTCCATCACCAACTCCCGGAGTTTACTCAAACTCATGTCCATGGAGTTAGTGATGCCACCATCTCATCCTCTGTCGTCCCCTTCTTCTCCTGCCCTCAATCTTTCACAGAATCAGGGTCTTTTCAAAGGAGTCAGTTCTTCATATCAGGTGGCCAGAGTATTGGAGTTTCAGCTTCATCATCAGTCCTTCCAGTGAATATTCAGGACTGATTTCCTTTAGGATGGACTGGTTGGATCTCCTTGCAATCCAAGGGACTTTCAAGAGTCTTCTCCAACATCACAGTTCAAAAGTATCAATTCTTTGGTGCTCAGCTTTCTTTATAGTCCAACTTTCACATCCATACAATGACTACTGGAAAAACCATAGCTTTGACCAGACGGACTTTTGTTGGCGAAATAATGTCTCTGCTTTTTAATATGCTGTACAGGTTGGTCATAGCTTTTCTTCCAAGGAGCAAGCATCTTTTGATTTCATGGCTACAGTCACCATCTGCAGTTATTTNTGTGAGATGAGTGCAAGTAGTTTGAGCATTCTTTGACATTGCCTTTCTTTGGGATTGGGATGAAAACTGACTTTTTCCAGTCAGTCACTGCTGAATTTTCCAAATTTGCTGGGATATTGAGTGCAGCACTTTCACAGCATCATCTTTTAGGATTTGAAATAGCTCAACTGGAATTCCATCACCTCCGCTAGCTTTGTTCATAGTGATGCTTCCTAAGGCCCACTTGACTTCACATTCCAGGAGTGTTTAGGCACACCCTCAAAGATGGGAGAGGGTAGGGTTGGAACTAGAAGGCTGGGAGGGGGCTGGCCCAAAGCCTGCCCTAGGAGCTATCTTTATGCAGCTCTTCCCTCACTCCTCCAAGGCTGATCTGATTCCATTCTCATGTCCTCTCTGAAGGTGCATATTTGTGGTGTACACATTGGCTATCCTCAGGCAGGGCTCCCTGAATCCAGTTTAATATTCCTTGTTCAAGGCTCTGAAATAGGTACAGCAGGGACATTCATGGCTGATGAGGAGCTAGGATGGTATAATTGTTGGGTGGTGGAGGTAGTGATGTAGCAAACCAAACATAGTCCATTATTTCTGTAAATCATATATTTCTGAAAACATGTACTAAATGTCCAGAAATCACACAAAAGGTGTAGATGCTATGGGAGGAATTCTTAGAGAGCTAAAAATATTATAAAATCCCTAACAATCCCTTTACTTTTTAACAGCTTTATCAAGATATAATTCACATACCACACAATTCATCTAAGTATAAAATTAATGTGGGTTTTTTGGTATGTTTACAGAGTTATACAACTGTTCCCCTTTACTTTTTTTTAATACATTCTTTAATGGTATTAGTTTTAGCATTATGGACACATTCTTTGATTTTCCTTCTCAGAATAGTTAGTCAAGTAATAAATGTCAAATGATAGCCAATCAAATGATAAAAGTCAAGATCATTGAGTTGGCTGGTTGGTTTGCAGTATCCCCAGAGGGTCGGGTTTTTATGTCTAGTCACTGGTTACACACATGCAGGGAAGTTTAGGGCAGAACTCTGGGTCATGTGAATGTCACACCTGGGGCCTTGAGGAGGGCCTGCATCAGGATTCCTGCAAAGGGAGCCTGGCGATGCCACAACATGTTTACAGAGGAAGCACCATGGGAGGTCAGGGGTGATTGAATTAAGCTGTAGACAGTTTGGAAGGGCCTCACAGCAAAGGGGACCGGTGTGATCAGCCTTGGAGCATAAGAGAGCTAGGGGGCAACCCGGAAAGAGATGAGATTGCAAAGGTGGAGTGAGGCCATATTGTGGAAAACTTTGAATCTTAGACTGTGAAGGTAACTTCAATTTTTATTCCTCACGCCAAGGAGACTGAAGGGTTTTGAGTAGGGCAGTGGACATTCGGGCTCCAATTCTGGAGGAATAATTCTGAGAGTGGTTGAAGGGCCAATTAGGAAGCTGTGGTAGAAGTTCAGGCGGGAGGTCATAGGAGCCTAAAAGAAGCAGGTGAGGTAAGAAAGGAAAGATGGGACATATTTAGAAAACATTTCAGAGATAAGAGTCTATAAGCACTGATTGTTTAGCCACCTCAGTGTATCTAAACAAGGAGATGAGGAAGGGAAAGGGGCTGAACAAAATCCAAGATTCCAGAAGAATGATGTTGCCAGTAAGAGATCGTCAAGTCAAGATGGTTTGGTGCTTTGACGGTTTGGTTTTTAACATTTCACCTCATAGGAGCCAGTGGTATATCCAGATAGTAATGTGGTCTGGATATCAGATTAGAGGTGAGGTTGGAGATTTGAGGAGGCTTAGCACAAAGCCTGTGATTATTATTTTGGGAATCAGATAGACACAAATTCAAATCTTGGCACTGCTTCATATTAGCTGTGTGACTTGGGAAAACATCTTCATTATTCCAAGAAGCTGGAAATGAAGCTAATAATATTACCTAAGGGTTATTGTATCACCGCCATGATGGACATGAGTTTTAGTAAGCTCAGGGAGTTGGTGATGGATAGGGAAGCCTGGCATGCTGAAGTCCAGGGGGTCGCAAAGAGTTGAACAAGACTGAGTGACTGAACTGACTGACTGAAGGGTTGTTGTGAAAAGGAAATGGGTTAAGGTTTTGACATGCCTTAGCACCATGTGGTAAATTCTCAGTAGATGGCAGATTTTATTTGGGATCACCTGTTGAAGCTATGGAGTGGATGGATAAAATTCTGGGAGAAAGAGTGTAGGAAGAAAAGAGGTGGATGAGGAGCAGGAGAAGGGGAGATGGAGGCTCTTGACCAGCCACAGAGGCCACAGGCTGGAAAGTGACCTCCTTTTCCCAGGGTGCTCCCAGGGTCTGGAGATGTCCATGGGAGCCATGACAAATGTGACTCAGGATGGAGGAAGGGAGAGAGGAGAGGAAACATAAAGAGAAGGGAAGAGAGGAGCAGAGCACCCCAGAGCTGGGGCAGGACACGCTTACGGCTAGAAAGTGATGGAATATACACAGGCTCAAGTCAAAATCATAGAAATCCACTCCAGTGACCAAAAAGCAACTCTAAAAAACATCATTCTTATTTTTCTTAAACTCGATGAGGGAAATAAATATTTAACAAACAGGTCATGACCACATTTTCTGCAGTTACCTTTCTCCCTCATCCACTCCTCCCTCCATCCTCAGAGATACTCCCAAACTTTTCTCTCTCCTCTCTGTCTTTTGCCCCTGGCCCCTTTGTCTCTCTCCCTTTACCAAAACCAAACAAAATAGCAGCAGGAACATTTTCTCCTAATCTCACCTCCCTGTCTCTCTGCTTTCTCCCTACAAAAAAAATTAAGATTCATAAAAGCCTCAAGGATGGTGGAAAAGTAAAACCAGAATCCTCCTTAGGGATCTGGGGGAAAGGAAAACTTCCAGATTAGTTACTTCTCTCCTATCACAGGAGTTTCATCTCACCTACAAACCATCATTTAAAAGAAAAAGAGAGAAAAGAAAATGTCCCAGTGTTAAACTGCACTTTACAATGACCCCAGTGCCCTAGATGCTGAGCCTGTGCCTTGAACACATCAAGGGCAGCTTCCCAAGGTGGGGTCCCTTACCATCTGACCTAGCCACCTCTCTCCTAAGCCTGGAAGGAAAGCCCAGCCTTACCTGTCGATGCTGATGGCACAGAGGTTCAGGATGCTGGCTGTGCACATCATGACATCCAGAGTGACGAAAACATTGCAGCAAACTCGGCTGAAATTCCAGACCCCACCTGTCACCTGGGCATCAGAGACAAGGATGTTAGTGTTTCCTCCCAACAAAGGGACAGCAACCCAGTCGACTCTATTGCCTTCCCTGGGCTGTCTGTCCTGCACAGATGGAGACACGCCCTCCCTGTGGGTACTGCCTCATCACCAAGGGCAGGCAGACCTCGAGCAAATGTCAGGGTGCCCAAGATTGTTTGCCTGAGAAAGAATAAATTGGTGGAATGTCAGTATTGAAATGGATCTTCTGAATCAAATATTCCAGCGTTTCTCAAAGTGCAGTCCACAGTGGGGTGTTCATTAAAGATGTAGATTTCTGAACCCTTTCCTGGACCAACTGAGTCACAGTGTCTGGATCTGGAGCCCATGAATCATCTTTTTAAAATGAACACCACCCCCCCTCCCCAATCACACCAAGATTTGTGAATCACTGATCTGTTTCAACTAAAGAGTCTCTTGATGAAAGTGAAAGAGGGGAGTGAAAAAGCTGGCTTAAAACTCAACATTCCAAAAACAAAGATCATGGCAACTGGTCCCATCACTTCATGGCAAATAGATGGGGAAACAATGGAAACAGTGCAAGACTTTATTTTCTTGGGCTCCAAAATCACTGCAGATGGTGATTGCAGCCATGAAATCAAAAGACGCTTGCTCCTTGGAAGAAAAGCTATGACCAACCTGAACAGCATATTAAAAAGCAGAGACATTACTTTGCCAACAAAGGTCTGTCTAATCAAGGCTATGGTTTTTCCAGTAGTTATGTATGGATGTGAGAGTTGGACTATAAAGAAAGCTGAGCGCCGAAGAATTGATGCTTTTGAACTCTGATGTTGTATAAGACTCTTAAGAGTCCCTTGGACTGCAAGGAGATCCAACCAGGTAATCCTAAAGGAAATCAGTCCTGAATATTCATTGGAAGGACTGATGCTGAAGCTGAAACTCCAATACTTGGCCACCTGATACGAAGAACTGACTCATTGGAAAAGACCCTGATGCTGGGAACGATTGAAGGTAAGAGGAGAAGGGGACAACAGAGGTTGAGATGGTTGGATGGCATCACCAACTTGATGGACATGAGTTTGAGCAAACTCTGGGAGTTGGTGATGGACAGGGAGGCCTGGTGTGCTGCAGTCCATGGGGTCACAAAGAGTTGGATACAACTGAGCAACTGAACTGAACTGATCTGGTTCAAACTCAGGAGGCAGCTAAAGCTCATTGTGGTTAAGTGATGTGCCCGTAGATGCACAGCTCATGGTAAAAGAGCTTGGGTGACTGCCAAATGTGTGCACTGTGCCAAGACTACCTCTTCGAAGCCCTCCACCCAGTGGAGAGCTCACCCTTTTCAGGAAATAAACTGAGAACACATTTTTCATAAACCTTCCCTCCACAGTGAAAGTCTGTCTGGCTTCTAATTTTAAAGCTTGGAAGCTTTAACAGCACCTGTAAGAGCCTATGTAAAATCAGTCTGTGCCATTGCTCCCGCCTTCATCACCGTGGTCCTGCTCACCAAGACGTAGGGGGAAAGGTGTGTCCAGGGCATTGGAAAGGGGCCCAGATCCTCTTCACTACTCACAGAATCAGAGAAGATTGTTCTGACCTCATGCATGTACACACGTGTTCCGAGCTCCATAACTCTTCCAAGTAACATATATAATTAAGTCAGGAATTTAGATGATTTCTGTTATATTCTAGCACCTTTCTATTTTATTTTTTTTTTTTCACATAACCTAATTGAGCCAGAGAGATATGTCAGGGAGACTGTCACTTTCATGCACAAATGCCACTCTTGGGGCTGGAGGCTTTTTGCTTTTGCCAGCTTCCAGCCCCTGGGGCTGCCACTCTTGGGCACCATGGGTCTCAAGGGGAAACCTGTGAAGCTGGCCCCTTAGGCTTGGCTGGGTGTTCATGATAGCTCTGCTGGCAGGCCAAATGGCTATTTAAGAGAAAGGGGAGTAAAACATAGATTCAGTAGCCTCTGAAGTAGCTTCTCAAGGAAAAAACTGCAAACAATAGTACATGAAAATGCTGTTGTTCCTCTAATTCTTCTCATCCAAAAGTCTTGTTATATCACCAGACCACTTCACTGGATATCCTTGTTTTATGGCATTAATGCACGTTCCTGAAAGGGTCTCTCTCTTTCCCCTCCACTAATAACTTTTCCACATAGAATTATTTCCTTTTCAGCATTTGATCTTTTCCCTATATTTGGTTATCTCCAGGCTATAGTATGAGAAACTCTGACCAAAAGTATTTTAAGAGCAACAATGAAAAGTTCAAATTAGTGATGAAGTCATCATTTTTGTTCATTTAGTTGTGGATTTACTTTCTCTTAGTCCAGTCATTTAGTGCTATGTAAATAAAAGCCTAATAATGAATATATAGGAATTCTGAAAATGAAAAAATTTTTAAAGGGACATGTGTTTAAGGCAGCCAGGAGAATAGAAGAGGGTTTTGCTTAGTCCACAGGACAGTTCTCTGCTGTAAAAGCTTCTTGCAAAAGGTGAAATTTGTATGTAGTAATGTGTTAGTCACTTGGTTGTATCTGACTCTCTGTGACTCTGTGGATTGTATCCCGCCAGTCTCCTCTGTCCATGGCATTCTCCAGGCAAGAATTCCAGAGTGGGTTGCTATACCCTCTTCCAGGGGATCTTCCCAATTCGGGGATCAAACCCGCAGGCAGAATCTGCATTGCAGGCAGATTCTTTACTGTCTGAGCCACCAGGGAAATTTGTATGCTACATCTCTTTCAACATCTCTTTGTATGCTAATGTATTTATGTAACTTAAATTGGGGAAAACCATTTTTTTTTTTTTTTTTGGTGAAATTGTGAGTGCCTGTTTGTTTATGTGTGTTGGGGGACTGTGTAAGTGAGAGAGGATCATTAGAACAGTAGCCAACCCCAGGCTTGCTGGATGTCCTGTTTATTCATTTGTTTATTCATTCATTCATCCATAACACAAGTACCTGCAAAACTCCTATTAGTTCGTTGGAGGAGGGTATATTATGTGTTTTTTCAAAAAAGTTCTTCAGGCCCCGTCCTTGTAGAGAACTGAAGAAGCAAGGCATTCTAAATAAAATAGAGATCATCATGAGATCCTAATATCATTAATAAAAGTTAACATTTATTGAGAACTCAGTCTATGTGGGTCACCAATCCACATGACCCATTGCAGAAATTTCTGTAACTTTGGAACTTGATCCCTGAGGGTTTTGTTTTTTTTTTTTTTTTTAAGCTGTATGTGCTCTCAAAGCTTTTTGAGGACAAATTATACACTTATGTGATAGGAGATTAAATGACTGCTACTTAATCAATCCGATAGGAGCAAGGAGTTTTTCTTGTTTGCTGCTGCATCCCTCTCCTAGAGGAAGCCCAGCCTGCAAATATATTCTGACAGGATGAAGGGTCTCTGACATAATCTTTGTTAATACTAGCAATTACATACATGGCCTCTGGCTGGTTATTGTCCTGTGAGAGAGGACTGTTGTTATCTTCATTGATGAGAAAGAGACTAATGTTTGAAGAGGTGCAGCACCTTGGCCCAGGAAGGCATGGCTTGTTACACATCGCCGTATGGGGGTGTCAGGTGAGGAGGGGGCAGCTGTTGGAAAGGGTTGGAAGTGGGTGGACACAAGGAGGAAGAGAAAATCACATGCTCATCAGGGAATTTTGTGGGACGGACCACATCACCCCCCTTCCAGGGAATGGGAGACCTTCAGATTGCTTGCATCCCAGGGTTGCAGAAAAACAGTGCAAAACAGTGGGGGCCCGCTGACTTTGGAGCTAGTGAAAGTACATACCTGGCCGGTCCCTGGTCTCTTGAGCTCCTCAGGGCCAAAGCCCTCAAGCTGTCCTCTGGCTTCCAGGCCCCCACTGTGCTACCCCATTCTGGCTCTCCTCTCCTCCAGTCTCCAACTCTGCCAGCAAAATACTCACTCTCCCCTTGATCTCAGCTCATTGTCAAGAGGAAAACAACCTGATTAGCTATTTAAGTAATTCCCACTAAGGTGCCATCACTTGGCCTTCTCTGGAGCTTGCTCGTCAAGATGTGTCTTTAATCGGTGGTATGTATAATGAAACTACCTTTATTTTTTAAAAACGAGCCCTCCACACCAAGTGAATAATAGTGAACAATGAGTAACAGCCAAGAACATGCTAAGTAACTCTCACAGCAACCCAATGAGGTAAATATTCTTTCCAATTTATTGATAAAGAAATGGGAGTCTGAGAGGGGTTGAATAATTTGCCGAAGGACACATAGCTAGTAAAAGTAGCTGGAATCTCAAACCTTAATGTTAACCGCTACTCTGTGTTGCCTCTCAGAGGTCAGCACCTTGACACGCTGCCTCTGAGACATATACAATTTAGCTCCATTCTCTTATCACAGGAGGGGGAAGACTTGGCCTTGGTCCAATCATCCACCCACGTGGCCAGTGTTTATTGAGGGCCCATTATGGGGCTGATGCTTTGCTGAGATGGGTGTACTGAAATGAATTAAACTTGTGAGATATTAAACTGTATTGTGAGGCCAGAATATAGTGCGTGTGCAGGCTGGGGGGTGGAGGGGGGTGGCGGGGGAGCGGGAAGTCATGTGTGAATCGGAAGGGGTGAACTGAAGGCCCAGGAGAGGCACACTTAGAAAATATCTATGATAAGTGCTGACAGTGAGATGAGTACAGTGTTGGGAGAAAATGGAAGGTAAAGTGATTTTTGAAATTAAAGCAGGAGAAAAGCAGAAAAAAGAAATCTGATTGATTTAAGGCTTTTTGAGATGTGATTCTACCTTTCCCCTAAATTTTAATGAATAACTCACTTCAGAATTAAACAGCAGCCAGGTGGTGTTACTCTCACTTGCTAATGAATCTAACTGACTCCCTTTGGCAATACAGAAGGCGGGGGAACAGGAGAGTGTCTTCAGGTACTGAAGTTGGCTATTGATTTTCAGCAGGCACAGCCTCCGGCAGCATTTCCCAAATTTACTGATAAGGCAGCATTTTCCAAATCACCTGAGGCTCTT